TTACTGTGGTCCTAACAATGTGTCGTTACGTAATTCCCCCCTGTCTTTATCAAGAAACTTTGTCATGGAGATTAAGCAATTCTCTTGACAGTTAATAGACTACTGCCTGTTCCATATGCCCATAAATACGATTGTATAGTTATAGCAAATGAAATCGTTGAAGTGAAAAGTTGTCTTTTTGAGTTATCCCCTTTCTTCTTTATGGCTCAAAGGAGCTTTCCCACTGTTTAAAACTACCTATACGTTTTGTTATTATCTACTAATTGTCCATTTTTTCATTTCGGTCTTATATGGCTCACAGCAGTTACTTGATCATTATTCCTTCTTAAGTTGAGAATGATTTTTTTAGCGCCTACATGTAGACCGATGCCTCGAAATTTGTCTGCCTATCTTTTCATCGTCTAACAATATGGAGTGAACAAGGTTGGGGGGGCGTTGACCATTTTATTTCCTCTGGAAAGCGGATTAGCCTTTGTAGATACATTACTGACTAAATCTCACCAAACTATGCAATCTGTGCTATCCGTGAAATATCCGATTTCACGTTAAAGTTGAGTACGCTTAGCACCAATTCTAGCTACTACATGGTTGTGAAACATGATGATCGAAAGTTGATGGACATGATAGGCTTCATGTGTTTCCCCAACTTTGCTTTGTATCACTGGTCGTGTCTCGTTAAGTGACCATGTTTGTAATGTATGGTTTTGGCGTAGAGTCTTCAGGTAAAGAGAAGTCAGTTGGTGAATCTTCATTGGCTCATGTACCTGGGACTTACGTTACACAGACCTAATCGCTATCTACCCCAACGGATGATACCACCTAAATTAGGCTTAGGCTGAAAAGGTATAAACGTGGCCAAACTAAGACGTGACATCAATCCATGGAGTCTTAAACTGTTAATCTCTGCCGAGTGGAAGTTTAGGCTTCGCTGTTGAAGTTCACTAGAAAATCAAAATCATCCGTTGAAAACTGGGAGTAATATGACTTAAAATCAACCACCGGGAAGTCATATTTAGCTTTACTTCATCTAAACCTCAAAATGAAATTCAATTTAGTTATTGTGTTATCCACTTTTCTTTTCTTCTTACAAATTCCAACAGATTTTCACTATGTCATTGTATTCCCCTAATTTTCATCTTGCTTACTTCTTGGTGTGTGGCATAACAGATTGAACCATCACATTGTAATCCCCTAAGCTTTATGTCAATATATGCTGTTTAAATATTAATCTGTCATTAAACCATAGAAATTACTTCCACAAATCAACATAGTTCATACATCCCACTGTGACCGTTCCTAACCATCCTTCCACTTATGAGAATTCCCTTGGTTATGGCTAGCAGAAGAATCCAGAATGCGCATTTCGTCCTACTTGGACTCACCAGCTGGATGACACTGCACCCCAGTGAGTGATGCTGTCCCCACTGAGGATCGAACCTCGTACCCATTGCTCCAAATGCCAAAGCGTTGTCTTCTATTCCATGGAGGCACAACAGGCACTTCTTGTACAATGATTATTAGTTACTACTACTTACTGACATACTTGTTCTTCTCCGTTGTTTTATTGCTTTGAATTATTCGACCTCTACTGGCATATGGGCTCCTATGCGGATGCCCCGATATTGCTTGACTATTAGTTATGATAATTTGCTAGCCACAACAATTCGATCCAATAAAACAACGGAGAATAACAAGTATATCAATAAAAGGTAACATTCTCCCATTTATTTATGACTAGTATGAGAGGTTGAAATGATAAGAGAATATGTACACTTTAGAAACTATAAGGAATTTGTAAAAAATGCTTCATTTTTAAGAGAAACACATAGAAATATTGATTTATTCATTGAATCAAACTTTTATTCATTTTTCCAATACAATTTATTTTTATGATAACCTTGATGCAATACTGAATTCTAGTAGTTAGTAATATGTATATTAATTTGTTTAAAAATTGGATTTAAGAGGTGTATCATATTAATAAAGAATGTTTGAATCACAGTATATTAAAAGAAATAACTTTTGAAGATTTTTTTTTGTATAATTATACAAAATGGTCATCTATAAAATCTAAGATCAGGTATTCTAGCCATAGTTACAGTTTGTTTTGTTTTAGTAAGTTATACAAGTTACCACAGTGAAGTAATCTGTTTCAATGTCCAACATAAAGTTATTCATTGAACAATTGTAACATTTTCTGAGAGCGATATGTATCTCAAATGTTTTTTTGTTTACAAATGTGTAAGAAAATCATGAAGTAATCTTTCAAACATTTCAGTCACCTAAATAAACGAATATCAGTATACATACATAAAATCTACAGACATATCCTTCCAACTGACAGAAAACAATGAATTTTCAAGTTGAATTATGAAACATAAGTAAAACTGACAAACACTGAAATATACTATAGAGAAATAAAATATTTTTACCACAAAAATGTTATCACAAAAATGTTCAATGTTCAATTAAATTATCATCACAGGGTTGTACATTTGTTTAATTGATAATAGAAGAAGTAAAATGAAAGTAATAAAATGAGAGGGAAAAACGATTTTAGAAATCTTAGTCGAAAATCTTTTTCTCTTCTAAAATAAAAACTCTTCACGTTAAAATAAGAATGACGGAGATTATTGAAAACATATCATACATTGAAACAAAAACATGATGGTAAAGGTAATCATAATGCTAATAATAATAATAATACTTACATTAAAAGAAATATAAAGGAATAACACACGAATACATACATACACACACAACATCACAAAGTAATACAAGGTGAAAAAATATATCAAGAAAATATACAAACAAATTAACCAATTACAAAGTATTCGTTACCATAACAACACTATGATACTTTGCCTCAAAAGTCTACCTACATTCAAGCATGTGTATGTATCGCACAATTGAAACGATTAATGTGATGTATTCAAGAAATGAAATAACAATAACCAGAATAACTGTATATATGAATGACCCTGACTAGACATAATAGTTGGACACATTGAATACAATTTGTATCACATGCATTGTATAGAAACGAATGTTGAGTTCTATCAAGAAACTGAGATGAAGAAAAAGAATATTCGCCGTTTAATAATTTGTAATATGTAATTCAGGTTTGTTGACATATTTTGTTATGGGAAATAGAATTGACACTATATTGTCTGTTGTTTGAATATATTATTTGTGTCCACTGTAAACATGAGGATGCAGTTAGTTACCTTGGTTACCTCTGATGATATGTAAATGGTACAAATTGTGAAAAAAAAATTGTCTGTAAACAATTATATTGTCTTATATCTGATATCACTTAAAACCTAAATTCCAAATGTTAGTATAACTATGTGAAAGAGTGAAATATGATATGTATAGACTCGAAGTAGGTAGTGAATAAGGAAACATGTTCAGAAGATTTGATCTCCTCTTTTCTTGTCTCTCTATCTCCCTCTTTCATTCCTATCTCTATGTATCTTTGACTGACACGGAAAATGAAGATAAACATTACTGTCTACTGAATGAGAAGTATTTAAGTAGTATAGAAGATGAAAAATAACAAACTGAAGATGCATAGGATGACGTAAACATATATTAGAAATGCAAGACACGTGGAACACTATTCTTTTTTGATATGTGCATATATTAATGGAAGGGCACTTGATATGTTGTTAAGATTCAATTCAAAACTTATGTGTTTACATAAGAGAAACAAGTTAATAAGACTTTTCAGAATGATTTGCTGAATACTGTGAGACATATATGTTTCGTTTCGATTTCGTCTGAGTCTTTGGAGTATTAGCTTAATTCGATTGATGAATTTGAAACGATGGTTGGAACAGTGTAGTTATACAAGATGTAAGTGACTTAGACGAAATCGAAACGAAACATAAATGTCTCATAGCATTCAGCAAGTGATTCTGAATAGTCTAATTAACTCAATTCTCTTATGCCAAACACAAAAGTTTTGAATTGAATCTAAACAACTTATCAAGTACCTATAAAAATAGTGTTTCACGTATCTTCCGTTTCTTATCTATGTTTACGTCATCCTCTGCATCTTCAGTTTGTTATTTTTCATCTTCCATACTACTTAAATACTTTTCATTCAGTAGACAGTAATGTTTATCTTCATTTTCGTGTCAGTCAAAGATACAAAGAGATAGAATGAAAGAGGGAGACAGAGAGGCAGGAAAAAAGGAGATCAAATCTTCTGAACATGTTTCCTTATTCACTACCTACTTCAAGTCTATACATATCATATTTCACTCTTTCAGTCGTTATGTTGATAACAGTTTACCTTCACTTAGTTATACTAACATTTGGAATTTAGGTTTTAAGTGGTATCAAATATTTTATGTAAAATTTTACAAATTTATATAAGACAATACAATTGTTTACAGACAATTTCTTTTTTCACAATTTGTACCATTTACATATCATCAGAGGTAACCAAGGTAACTAACTGCATCCTCATGTTTACAGTGGACACAAATAATATATTCAAACAACAGACAATATAGTGTCAATTCTATTTCCCATAACAAAATATGTCAACAAACCTGAATTACATATTACAAATTATTAAACGGCAAATATTCTTTTTCTTCATCTCAGTTTCTTGATAGGAACTCAAGATTCGTTTCTATACGATGCATGTGATACAAATTGTATTCAATGTGTCCAACTATTATGTCTAGTCAGGGTCATTCATATATACAGTTATTCTGGTTATTGTTATTTCATTTCTTGAATACATCACATTAATCGTTTCAATTGTGCGATACATACACATGCTTGAATGTAGGTAGACTTTCGAAGCAAAGTATCATAGTGTTGTTATGGTAACGAATACTTTGTACATTGGTTAATTTGTTTGTATATTTTCTTGATATATTTTTTCACTTTGTATTACTTTATGATGTTGTGTGTGTATGTATGTATTTGTGTGTTATTCCTTTATAATATTTCTTTTAATGTAAGTCTTATTATTATTATGATTATCGTTTTTCAGTTAAATTCGTTGGAGTTAATAATGTTTTAGTTGTCTTTAGTGGGAAATAACTGTGCTTATTTTGTTTTTGGCCAACATCTTCAAGTCGACTATTGTTCAATTTTTCACCTGAGTGAAGATTTACACCTTCAGCATCTTTTCGATGTTGTTTTTGCTGAATTGGTTGTGAACTGGTTGACCTAATCGAGGTTAACACTGAATCTTTTCCACTGAGTTGTTTAGCCTTGTTGTTGTTATGTTTTATTGAAGTTTTACCAGTTTCTTGATGAAGTGAAACTTCTGAATAAGGCTTCGTTAAACGCTATAATCGAGAAAGAGAATTATTCAACATTTTTTTTACTGTTAAGCAGTAAATGATTTAAGTTTACAAAAGTTAGACTAAGCTTACAGCGAAGAAGTGCACGCAACTAGTAAGCATTTTGAGTAATTCACTTAAAAACGCTAATAACTTTTTGCCCATTTTTATAATCTTCAGATGCGTCTATTCAAGCTGTAGTCAAGGATGTTAACGTCTAGTTGACTGGGCAAACAATGAAAAAAGAACGAAAAAATTTCAAAACCTCTTGCTATTTATGAAAAGAATCCTGTATTTTACTTTCAGGATTATTTTTTCAATGAAACCGAAAAATTGTATAATAATCTGTTGCTTGCCAATTAACTTGCATCAAGGTAGAATTTTCCAAGTCTTAGGAAAGAAGCCTTGACCTATCATGTAATCAAGGTTGGATATCAGCATTAATACTCCCCGATAGTATAAGATGCTGTTAACACCTCATCAAGAATTGAGAGAATTTGTGAAACATCTGTCATTCAACTCCAACTTCGTACCTAAGTGGTAAAGGGTTCGCCACGAGGCCTAAAGATTCCGGACTATATCCGGCATAAAGTAATGAGTATCTGCTTCTGAAGAGTTCAGAAGTATGCGACCGAGCCTCCAAGACTTTTAGGTGTCTTGTAAATGATACTGATCCGTAATAAAGGCTTCCTGTGAATTATCTGTTTCCTAGTCCTTGGTTTAAAAACCCAATTCCGAACTGTTTTCACCACCTCAGACTTGGCATAATTTTTATTATAAATGAGAATAACTTGCTAATTCTTATGATATGCTACTTTTTACTTTCCAGTTTACTATTCAATATCATTTGCCCCTAAATGATGTTAACCTTTGACCCCTGCTTACAATGGCCATAATATCCAATTTATATCTTGGAATGAGGAAAAATTTTAAAAAGCGCGCAACCTAGATCCAGGGCTTCCTGGCGATTGCCTCCAACCAACTCACATCTACTAGTGTGCACCGCGATGCTGAACTTCCCAGCTTGCAAATATGATACATAGGATTGTGTCTGCACTCAAGACTAGACAATATGAAATTGGTTGCACTCCCATAACCAATCAATACAAAATTTCAACTCATTTTTAACATCAGTAACTGATTCAGTGTGTCTTTGTACCATCTCACATGCATAATTAAATCAAAATACGAGGAGTGTTGAGATAAGGAGAAACGAACTACGCAAAATAGGTAAGTTAACCGATGAACTTTTTTATCTTTTACTAACTGAAATGACTTGAAGATGTGCTGCGCACGATAAGACATCATGCACCTTAACGTATAATGCTACAAAATATTTGATTAATTTGAATGAAGGTTTACAAGAGTCAGGTGAAGAACCCGCACCACTCCATCAAGTCTATAAATGTTAGTGTAAATCTTACCACTTATAGCTTACAAATTGCAGAACTAAACAGATGAAATGACGATATATTCTAAACTTTGACTTTAGGAATAATTGATGAGGCAGTATTCATTAAGGAATGATGCAACCTGGAGAACTATTGAAAACCTAAGAGTATTTAACAGCTGTTTCATCCTAGTATAGGATTCTTCAACAGTATTATCTATATTACAAAAGGTTTAATAATTGGCAATTTTTTTCAATAAACAAAATTGTTATTCATCGAAGACTGACATCAGTTGGAGGAACAAAGGAAACCTGGGAGCACTGGACAGCTGTTTCGTCCCATTTGTATGGGACTCCTCAGCAGTGCACACTCACGACCCCACCAGCAGGGACCAAACCCGCGACCTTCAGGTTCCGTGACCAGCGCGTTACCATTGAGCTAGCCACTGGGTCACAATCCAATGCTCCATATTTCCAACTTCTGTTAGCTCACGATATAGCGCAAACCACCACCCAATATCATCGTTGAGTATTTGTCCTCACGGCCATCAGGCTTTGACTCCACCGGTCATGACTTGTCATTGGAACTTCGGGAATACTTCTCGAAGCTACTCACCAACGATGAATAACAACTTGAAATATTTCTAAATCTCCACAACTCCCTCAAAATTTAATTGAACTACTGCTCATTGGTGACTAGCTTCGAGAAGAATTCTCGAAGTTCCAATGACAAGTCATGACCGGTGGAGTCAAAGCCTGATGGTCGTGAGGACAAATACTCAACGATGATATTGGGTGGTGGTTTGCGCTATATCGTGAGCTAACAGAAGTTGGAAATATGGAGCATTGGATTGTGACCCAGTGGCTAGCTCAATGGTAACGCGAGGGTCGCGGAACCTGAAGGTCGCGGGTTCGATCCTTGCTGGTGGGTTGGTGGGTGCGCACTGCTGAGGAGTCCCATACTAGGATGAAACAGCTGTCCAGTGCTCCCAGGTTTCCTTTGTTCCTCCAACTGATGTCAGTCTTCAATGAATAACAACTTGAAATATTTCCAAATCTCCACAACCCCCTCAAAATAAACAAAATATTAGACAATAAATCAAGGTTAAAAGTATAATCAATAAATGATTAGTTATACCTGACTTCTTAATAACTGATTTATTGTTGAACCATTAATGCATGAATTTTTAATATCTTGCTGAGAATTAAATGATCTATCATAATTTATAATACATGATAATGTTTCATTAGTATTATTCTTTAATTTTTCATTTAATGTTTTAGCTGATAAACTATTTCGTTTTATTCTGTTTTTATTCTCTTTAAAATTGGTACAACTATTACTACTGCTTATATTATTATTATTATTAGTAGTAGTAGTAGTAGTAGTAGTATCGTTATTGCCATCAGTATTGCTGGTAATATTTAAACTCCAATGATTTTGATGTATACTTCTACCATTCTCAAGTACAGAACGTGCTGTTGGACCAAGTAATCGTGTTGAATTTATACTTTTCTGTTGTTGTTGTTGTTGTTGTTGTGTATGTTTTTGTTTATTATCTATTAATTTTTGTCGATAATTTTCAATATTAGATCCAGATAGAAAATTATTTTGATATAATGATTTAGTTATTTTCACTTGTTTCTCATCATTATTTTGAATAATATCTAATGATTTTAAATGAATATTTTGTGATGATTCAATTACTTTTTCTGTATAATAATTATTATTATTATTTAAATAAAGTGTACGTTTTTTTCTTGGAATAGGATAATTTTTATCAGATTGATAATTGATACTTGTTGTCTGATATTTATTCTCAATATTTTCATTTATACTTTGATATTGTTCTGTAGATTGATTAATTTTTACTAATGAATTTGATATATTAGATGTAAGAGATTGTCTAGTACGATTAAGACGTAATGTACTTAAACTAATATGATCTTTTCGTGGTACTGTTAAAAATTTATGATATTGTTCATTATCATTTGTATTAATATGTCCTAATGAAAAATGTATATGATAAGGTGATGATTGATCTAATAAAGAATATTTATTTAAATGATTAATTGATTTATCAGTAATACTATTCATTCGTAAATCAATATTTGATGAAGTGATTTCATTAAATTGATTATCATTAAACCTATTTAATTGTTTATTATTCAATTCTTGATTAATCCATTCTTGTTTATCAATAGATGGTGATATTTTTGACCTAATATAATCTATAGATTTTTGTATAGTTCTATTATTATGTTTATATATATCATTATCATCAGTTTGATGACGTGTTAATAAATTCTGAATAATAGCATGTATATTAGCTCGAGGATTTGTTGTACAATTATTAGATTGTATAACAGATGATGAAGTTATTCCATTCAATGAAGAAATATAAAGACTTTGTCCATCTAAATCATATTTATTGTCTTGTAGATTTTGATTCATTTCTTTTATATTGATATTTGTTTGTGAATGGTTCAAGTTTTTCAAATATCCTTCAGTTATCTTATTTGACATTGAATCATGTTCAGTAGAGTTATTTTGAATTGGCTTTGCATCTATTATTAAAGGAACCGTAAGAAATCATAATTATTCGTATAGAAAATATGAATATTCTATTTGCTTAATTAATGAGCTTAATACAGGTCACTTTGTATGAGAGTAGAGTAATTAATGAATGATGAGAGGAACGAGATATCGATTTCTTCCGCCTATTTTGTCTCAAAAATAGGATGAAATTATCATCAAAGACTTGATAGTAATTCGTACTTTTCTTAAACTATTCTAACAACAAATACAAGTAGACATTTAGTTTGTTACATTTCCCTATTCTCTTCAGTTGAGGCTTTCTATCGTTTCATAGTAATGATGAATAGTAGCTTGCAGTGGAAACTAGGATGAATATTTCGTCTTATTTACAACTCACTCGTCACTGATGCTATTCTCACTAAGACTTGAACACGGGATCGATCACTTCCAACCGCAGAGAGCTACTCACTAGGCAGTAGGATCATAATACCCATTCCTCGTGCGGCCGGTATAGTTTTTATTCTTGTTACTTATATTATCCTGTCGTTGATTGGACCAAATTGATCGGTTCCTATTGGTACATGGATTTCTGTGTGAATGCTTGGATATTACCTGGAATTTCAGTTTGAACAAGATCATTCACTGGGAGGCAGGTACATCCAGCTTATGAATCTTGCATTTCACTTCTAGCCACTATCCATCAATACTACCAAAGCTAAAATTACAAGCAATATTGAAACATCGGTGCAGGAGCCCATATATTAATAGTATCCAGTCAGTTCTGTCTTATCAATGACAGGAAGTTACTACTAATAACATTATCGATTATTACCAAATATTAACTAGTCAATGCATGTTGGTCTGAAGCTTTTCATAAAAAACCGAAAAACTCATGAAAGACTTGACTGAAGAAAAGTTTCATTACATATCTGATGAATAAATGGAATGTAGTACTTTGTGCATTTCTATATGCCAGACTTCGATCAGTACTAAGTGAGTCAGGGCTTTGGATAATACTTTATTATCAGAGTTTTGGGAATGACTTTGAATTAACAAGTTATTAAGCTACAGTTCTACAGTGATAAACGAAATGATGAAAAAATGTTGAACAACAGCATAAAATCTACTAATTCACAGACTGAGTTCAAATTATTGCTACATCGTACATTTCCAGTTAATTTTGATCATGATACCCAATCCATAAAGCTATATTTCTTGTCTTCAGCATGCTTTAAGAATGATGGATATTATCGATAGGAGACTGGAACTTCATTTCAAAACTTAATTTCTCAACAAATGAGTATATACTCACCACAAAGAACAAGATCCGGATTTTTAACACCAATTCAGTCTAATCAGTGCTGCTATATAGTTCAGAAACTTGGCGTGTCACGAAAAGCATTTTCGACAAACTACAGACATTCATCAACAGCTGCCGCCTACGCTCACTTGATACTGAAGATCAGATGACCAGAAAGGAAAAGCAACAAGGAACTCTGGCTGGTGACAAACCAACCAACAACCTATCACTCAACAAATAAGCAGAACAAGAATGTGGAGATGGATTGGATTAGGCATATACTGAGAAGGCCGATTGGGGACATCATGCGCCAGGCCAGACCCTCAACTGGAATCCAAAGGGGAAAAGACAAGTTGGTCGTCCGAGGTGAGGGTGACATGGAGAAGATCATATGAGGAAGAAATGAAAGCTTATGGGCAGTCATGGCGACAGGTTGAAAAGACTGCAGAGAACAGAGTGCAATGGAGGCGTGCTACTGAACCCCTATGTTCCACTAGGAACCCAAGGAAATAATAATAATAATGACAAAGGTGATTGGATTTTACAACAAACTTTATTTTTGACAATCGGTTGTAAACTTGACGTTCTAAAGATGTGATTCATTGGTTAAGGGAGATGACTTCTAACCCAGTGGGTCACGGGTTCGAACACTGATCTACCTACCAAGGTTTGTGAAGCCAAGTAATCGTATCATTAGTTCTCATACAATAGGTGTGACTCATTGTATAATATACAAGTGTGTAAAAAGTTTACTGAATAAGTTTCGGTTCCAGAACTTCACGTTTCATTTCATTCATCAACCTTTACACTTAGTTATTCAATAGTTTACTTACAGTGATATAATTATACCAGCTAACTTGCTAGTCAAGTTTCACGTTAGACTGAATAATAATAATATTATTGTTATGATTATAAAATATTCACCATTAGTAATGATTAACTCATACGGGGATGAAGATGTATACATATTTTTTTCTCACGGTGCTCAAATATGATCCATGCTGGTGCATAATTTGTTAAACTGACCTCTTTGACCTCAATTGTTTAAAATATTAATTAATGATATTAAAAAGAAAGAAGTCGCTAAAAAGAGAAATTATAACCAACCAAGACACCTAGACACATCCATACACATATGTTGACTTATACAAACACAATTATATACATAAAAGTCAAGGTGAATTAGTGTAGACCAGCTATTATTCTGCTTTCAAAGCACAGTTGGAGTGGGGTTATTCGTTTAAAATGTTGATATGATGATCACAGAGGAAACTGTGGGTTTATAATATTTAAATAAGTGTTCAAAATAGTGTTTATTCCTTCTGTGTTTGTTTTTTTTTTTGTTTTTGAAAAGTTAGCGAACAAATTGAATATTAAATACGTGAATTGAACATTGAACAGTATTCGCTAAATTTTTTTGATCATAATTCTTAATGATAAGCATAGCTGATTACGTTACGCACTTGTAACTTAGAATGGTAGCATGTTGAGAATGATGACTCCGTCTGTACAAAGATGTCATTTTGAGAATTATCCTCCTGTAAACTTGACAGATGCAGATATCAGTCACTAATTCTTCGTACTTGATGAACACCCACGAAAGGTAGACAAAGAAACAACACAGTATGGTAGCTAAGGGGAACAGTATATTTGATACATAGCGTACATCAGTTCAATGTAGCCTGATAACTTGCCAAACGACAAGGATGCTTGACTGTATGCCTTCAACATAGCCAGTCTGTAAAAACTATGAAGATCAGCATCAACGTTGAATCTCACCGAATCCTAGTTTGTCACTGCAACTCTTTGAGATAATATATATTATAATGACCGTAAGAATGTGTATTAAATGTCAATACATCTACTTTAATGTGACTTATCAGGATCCAATTACAATAAATCGGTCATAACTAACGTGAACTGTAACATAGAAACAATCACTAAGTGCATACCTCCGGATACAACTTTTTCTAACAACTGAAAGCCTCATACACCAGAGATTTTCTAAGTCTATCTGAAAATTCCCCCGATGTATTTTCTCCTACTATGGTTGGTAGGCATAATAATCTAGGACTAATGGATAGCTAAACAGCATCAAACTGCAGGAGTAACATAAATGTATACTGTTGACGAAATGTAATAGGCAAGTCAAGTAATCGGTGGGTTCAACTACTTCACCCTTTGATCTGGGCATTAGTTCAGATCAGTAGTTAGGTAATATTAAATGCTTCAAAATTAAAAGGCCATACTTTGAGCATTCGAATGTTTTCTGCAGGCTGATCAAAAAAACTTGGTACCTTTTCAACGTCAGCACCCTGTAAGATTGTTTCTTTTACACATACGTTAATGTTATGATAGGGGGTTATAATTGCATATTAGATTGGCTTACTAGATATAATCCATAGTGATGAAGAACCACTTACTACGTTATGCTAAATAAACTAATCTAGTAGGAAGTAACACACCTTTTGTCCGTTTGAGAATATCCTCACAGTAGATCAATCTGTGAGAAATAAAATGAGCGTAAACCTTTAAGTTCAGACAACTTTAAAATGCAAGGTTTATATGAGCGTAGACAGAATCTATAAAACACGCAAAACATGTGAAAAGCATTGATGCAAGAATCAGTTGGAAAGCAATACTAAAAACAAACACCACCAGTAAACAAACGAGGTAGGACAGATAGCAACATTTTAAGCTACAGATGAACAATTCCAATAGTTACATAAATAAATAAAAATTGTGAATTTTTAATAAGCCTACAAGATTTCTGTCCAATTTTCTGCACAGCAGTCAGCATTTGTATCACCTTCCAGGAGGCAAAAATACTACACAGAGTCGATTTCCAACATCCAACTCACATCTCTCTCATTGCATCACCACCATTAGTCTCCTAGCCTGATGACCACATTTCAACATGTCCCTTCAATAGAATGCCGTCAACACATACAAATAGACAACTTCAAATTGCATACCCTTCACTGAATACTCAATGTACACTGTTATATGATAAGGCGTATGCATTACAATCAGCTCATTAACTCCGAAGACATACTCTGGTTGGACCAATGAAAAGACTCTAGGAGAGTTGCATTTTGTCAACAATGATTTATGTCTAGTGTCTTGTAGCACAAACTCGAAGATCTACAGGCAAAAACTAACGAGTTGACAGAAGACGCGAGGCAACGAACTCGGGACTTCAGGTGAACGTAGAGAAGACACAGGTAGAGGTGATCAAGATACCCAACTAACAACAGAAACAACGACAACAACAACAACAAACACTAATCACCATCAACGAGACAAACCTAGAGGAGGTTGTCTCTTTCACCTACCTGCCTACCTAAGTAGCATTGTCTCCACTACAGGTGGCACAGACACAGATGACGATCTCAGAGCCATCCAGGATCGGAGAGATAGCAAGGCAGGCCTTCATTAAGCTGAAATAATCAGTGTGCAGATATACTGAACTGCACTGCACTGTACTGCACTGCAATTAGCGTAAAGCGTGAACAATATCCGGATTTTCAACACTGAGTCAGTCAAGTCAGTCGGTGCTTCTATGTGATGAATGAGAGACTTTGCTCATTAAGAAAAGCATTTCCAACAAACTACAGACATACATCAGTAGCTGCTGCCTACACTCACCTGATACAGAAGATGCTGATCAGATGGCCAGAATAATGAGAATAAACAAGGAGGAACTATGGGAACGAACCAACCAAGAACTCATCGCCTAACAAACATGCAGAAGAAAGTGAGGGTGAATTCAATCGGATTGGACATACACTGAGAAGACCGATTAGAGACATCACGTACCAGGTCAGGTCATCGAGTAGAACTGAAATGGGAAACGACGAATGGGCACCCTAGTGAGTGTAACATGGAGGAAGTCATGTGAGGAAGAAATGAAAACTTTTGGGCCTTCATGGAGCCAGGTTGAAAATACTGCAGAGAACAGAGTGCAATGGAGGCGTGATACTGAAGTCGTATGTTCTACCAGGAACTCAAGTGGTAAATAAATAAAAAAATAATATTAACAGCGAGATGAGGCTTGGTCAACTAATTCAGAAAAGATCCAATCAACATTAATTAGTTTATGCGAAATGTAATGATTTAATCGAAAACATTTTTACTAAAAACCTACCAATTATTTTTACATTATCTTTCGTCGACATGATCTCTTTCACTTGAATAGAATCTCGGCTATCATGATTATTATTTTTTATTTTTGGAATAGGTGAAGATGTAGATATATTGGGCAATAATGAATTATTATGTTGAACTTCCACTTTTTTGAAATCATTAGTAGACAATTTTTTTGACAATTATCTAAGAAATTAATTGTACCGATTAAATTATTCAATCTATTCTTATTTCCTTTTGTATTACATATTACATTATTTTTATCATTATCCTTTTTAACATTCATTTCTATGGGTATATCATCTTTAATATTGTCTTCAATTTCATCATCAATTAGAATACAATCAGCACTATTATGGATTGCTGTTAGTTTATTCTGTTTATTCTGTGAATATTCACCTTCAATAATAATAGCATTATCTATATCTCCATCATGACTAGGTAAGTCAGCGCCTAAACTACCATAATCTTTTAGCATATTTTTTTGTTTTAATAATCTGTTATCATAATATCCTTTAATATCATTATTATCTATAGTTGATGAATGAGTAGTCATCTTCAAGTTATAATGGCTAGAAGAATGTCTATTGTTCAATGTCAATGGAGATTGTTTTAATTTAGTCATTTGATTATCGCGCATTATTTGTAAAAGTGTATTTGGTTTCAATGTTTCATTCATTTTATTTACATACTCTTCCTCTTCCTCATCGTCGTCTTCTTCTTTTACTTCTTCATCTTGTTTCTTGCCGACCTGATTTTTGTGTTTCTCTTTTGTATTAGAACATTTATCTGCAATATCTTTCGTATTCATTTGATCAGTGAACCGTTGTGTTCTGATTTCTCTATGACTAAATTGTTCTGAATGAATTGGTTTACACTCAGGTTTATAAAGTGTAATTGTACCAGTTTTTTGATTATTTGTATTATTGTTAATTTGATTAGGATCTGAAATTTCCCAATCGTATAAATCTAATTCGTGTATTTCATGTTGCATTAACCATTCATCTAAACACCTGATAAGCATATTATAATCAGGCATACTTTTATACTCTAACTGTTCCAAATGTGTAATCCATGCATTAACAATATTTACAGGTAGACCTGATTTTATAGCTAATTCTTTATGATTTAGCGCCATTTTCATTTGTCCTACTAATTCTTTATCTCTTATACGTCGCCAAGGTAATTGTCCACAAATAAATTCAATAAACATATAAACAAGTGACCATAAATCATCTTTTCTAGCTAAATCTTGATGTGCATGAGCATTAATCGATGCATAACGAACTGTTCCACGAAATCCAGCAATTTGACGTGCATTACGAACTTCACTACCTGGTCCATTGATAGTATATGGTCTAGCAAGTCCAAAATCAAGCAATGTAACTTGTACTCTCTGTGAATTATCCTTTGATTTACCACGTTGAATTGCAAAATTTGATGGTTTTACATCACGATGTAAGAAACCGGCATCATGTAAAGTTTGTAAAGCAGTAATACATTGTTTTATTAATCGAAAAGCTGTACCAAATGAGAATATAGCACCTGGTAGAGTTCTACGTATTTCTGAAAGATTTTTACCCTGTAAATAATAAAGAAAGCAATTTTCATAGACCCTTTAATGACAATTACGGTCATTTTCTTAACAGATCCACAGAACTATTCAATTAAATAATGAATAATAATAATAATATACTTATTTTATTCTGAACCATAATTACATATACATTACATAATTCGTAGCACGTAATATTCCATCAGTTTATTTGCTGTACAAAATTTTTCAAATACATATATTGAAAAACGTGCTGTTTGACAATGTATAACGAAGAATAACATAAATTATGAAATGTTTAATGACTTCACAGGCATGTTAACTGTTCACTATTGCAGAGTTGATTGATAAAACTATGTCTTGAGGGAGTTGTGGGGATTTGGAAATATTTCGAGTTGTTATTCATCATAGACTAACGTCAATTGGAGAAAAAAAGGAAACCTGGGAGCACTGATCAGCTGTTTCATCCCACTTGTATACGACTCCTCAGCAGTGCGCACTCACAAACCCGCACCACCAGGGATCGAACACGAGACCTCCAGGTTCCATGGCCAGCACGTTACCATTCAGCAACTGGGTCAAAGTTCAATGGTTCATATTTCCAACTTCTGTTAGCTCACGATGTAGCTATATATAGCGATATACATATATATATATATATATATATATATATATATATATATATATATAGGTGGGGACAAAGCCTGATGGTCATGAGGACAGTTACTCAACGATGATATTGGGTGGTGGTTGTGCTATGTCGTGAGCTAACAGAAGTTGGAAATATGGACCATTGGATTCTGACCTAGTGGCTCAATGGTAACGTGCTGGCCACGGAACCTGGAGGTCTCGTGTTCGATCCCTGGTGATGCGGGGTCGTGAGTGCGCACTGCTGAGGAGTCCTATACAAGTGGATGAAACAGCTGTTCCTTTGTTCCTCCAACTGATTTCAGTCTACGATGAATAACAACTTGCAGAACTATGTCTAACAAGATTTTCTTCACACAATAAGCAAGCTCAATAAGGTGTGCTTGAATTTCTGTATGTAGTTGTATGTACATACAGTCTAATATATTTGCTTCTTGTCTTCCTAGAGCCATCTATAGGACAAGAGTCATGAGACTAAAGTAATGTGCAAAAGTCTTTGTCATGTCTTAAGCTGAAATTTACCATCTAACATTTGCAGGGTTTTGAGTGTGAGGCTATTTAAGGAAGACCAGTAACTAATTCCGCTTAAGAAGTTATCAAACTGAGACAAATCTGAAGAGGAGATGATTGGCATGGATAATTTCAGGTCATCAGCGTAGTCAACAAAGTCAGCTTTAGTTGAGGTTGGTAAGTAATCCAAAAAAAGAAAAGGAAAGGAGAAAGAACAGTACTTTGAGGCACACCGGCTTCACTGAGCAGCGAAGTACGGCGATTCCCTTTGTAGAGAGTGTACTGTCTTCTCTTGGAAAAATATGAATCGAGACAGTTTACAATCCGGTACTCGATGTGATTACTGGCAAGCTCGTTTAATAAAAGGGTCTAGAGACAGAGCCAAAAGCAGAAGTAGAATCTAAGAAGGCAGATCGAACATACTTAGCACCTTTGTCCAGACTGGAAATAATATTATGATGTAAAACAACCGCAGCATCTAAAGTACTCCTTTTGTGTTTGACTGTAAACTGTTTCGGATCTCTGAAAGCCTCCAAAGGAGGTTCAAGCGCACGAAGCAACAATTTTTTCGACTTTACAAACTTCAAGATCAGAATTTGATTTGATATAGTTGAATAGGTTCAGCATATTGGGATTTTAAATGAAATATATCTGTAAAACCCCAATGAAGATGAAAAACACATTCCTGATGTTTCGCGGTTTCATCGAAATCGCTTCTTCAGAGCGTAAAGTCGGTATTGATGATTTAAACAGTAAATGGTGACAAATCAGGTCATATTGTCTACACATGATGATAATATGAACGTAAATATCACTGTTATGTTGGTCAGAAAGCGTTCAAAGTTGTATTTGTTATCCATTATTAGTCTGTAGTTCAAGGTGATGCAAATATATGCACATGTGACTAGGTATGAATGTATAAGAAAAATACTATGGATGACAAATTCGGTTTTTTTGTACGTATGCACTTTTGTTCTGATCATTCTATGTAATGTATTGTTTTTTGAAAATACTGCATAGATTGGTTTGGAAAGTTATGCCTTTCTTTCTGTTGAATGCATAAGAATTTAACATCATATGAAAATCCTTCAGTTATTTCCACGAAGTTGCAAAACATTATAAATTTATTTTTCTATTTCATTGAGATTTTACAAATCGATTCCATTTATAATTTTTTTTTATTGTTTTTAGGAATGGTGAAGTTATTGCAATCCGTCGAAATTTCACTTTTGCTCCAGAAGTTATTAATTTACATATCGGAACTAGTTTAATTTCCTGGCAAAAGACTCATTTAGAATGCTTGTGAGTGGATGGCATAGAATATCAGCACATTTCGTAGAAGGAAAAAAACACCTAACATGCCATTTGGTCCGAATAAATGAACATTGAAAAAAAACAGCGCTTGTAAATCTTTATCAGTAGATGTGATTTATTCTTGACATAAATGAAACTTAAAAGTTGTAGAAATCATCAACATTTAAAAATTCAGGCGAAATATAGTGAACATACTTTGGAAGTTCACCTGCTTTGTACTGTTACTCTATTCATAATTATCGTCATCATAAATAGCTTTTTAACAATACGATCCTTCAGAATTTATTTATGAAACACTTCATATATCTTTACTGTAATAAAGAACGTTTGTTTACCATTTACCGCACTTCAGATACTGCAATTTTCTGACAAAAAAATACGCCATTTTACACAATGAGACCGAATGTAGCTGAATAATTATGATGCCAAAGTGAAGAAAAATGTCCTCTGAGGGAGTTGTGAGGATTTGGAAATATTTCGAGTTGTTATTCATCATAGACTATTATATCAATCGGAGAAACAAAGGAAACCTGGGAGCACTGAACAGCTGTTTCATCCCACTTGTATAGGACTCTTCAGCAGTGAGCACTCACTACCCTGCACCACCAGGGATCGAACACGAGACCTCCAGGTTCCATGGCCAGCACGTTACCATTGAGCCACTAGGTCAGAATCCAATGGTCCATATTTCCAACTTCTGTTAGCTCACGACATAGCGCAACCACCACCCAATATCATCGTTGAGTAACTGTCCTCATGACCATCAGGCTTTGTCCCCACCTATATATATATATATATATATATATATATATATATATATATATATATATCGCTATATATAGCTACATCGTGAGCTAACAGAAGTTGGAAATATGAACCATTGAACTTTGACCCAGTTGCTGAATGGTAACGTGCTGGCCATGGAACCTGAGTGTCGTGGTATCGATCCCTGGTGGTGTGGGGTCGTGAGTGCGCACTGCTGAGGAGTCGTAAACAAGTGGGACGAAACAGCTGTTCAGTGCTCCCAGGTTTCCTTTTTTCCTTCATCTGACTTCAGTCTACGATGAATAACACCTTGAAAAACGTATTCGTAATTTTGCAGAATATTAATGCCGACAATCAGAGGAGCGAATATTCAAGACCGTACAGTCACTCAGTAAATAGATACTATGATGATAATACTTTTATTGCCTTACATCAATAAATATTAATTTATATGCTACAAATTAGGCTGAATTAACTGTTAAACATATATATATACAATTGATAGGAAGGTTATAAACACTCGGGCCATAGTTGTTACGAATTTCCTGAAAAAAGTTGAGCACCGAGTCAGGTTGATTCATAATATAGGTAGGTTTTGATATAATCCCAGTGTGTTTAAAAAATAGAAAACAAGATTTTTCTGAACGTTTCGCTGTGTAAACCACAGCTTCTTCAGAAGAAGAAGCTGGGATTTTATCAAAACTTACCTATATAATTTAATAGAAAGGTTTCAATTATGATCACTTTTCAAGCTAAGAATTACTTTCACTTCATAATGACATTCATCGAGCACTGATATCAGGTGGATGACCATCGGAAATCCTAGTTTAGAACTGATTACCAATGTTCTCCCATAACATATGGATGGATCGAGCAAATGAATCTTAGGTGTCATGGTATACAATTTACCATTTACCTCCTGTTTAGAAATCCAATGTTCCCCTATTTTTCTACTTCTGTTAGTCCATGACGAGAACTATAAATCAACAATTCAGACATTTTCTATGTCTCATTAGTCACTCACATAGAAATGAATTTTTTCAAGTTATGGTAATCTGTGCAGCTGATCAAGTCAGGTATGGAAACTACTGTTCTATCTGGAATTGATAGAAGCCAAAAAATACAAATCATTGGATCCCCATCTAGTGAATGAGAGGCAAGTTGTCTGCCGTGAGACCCAACGATCTTAGGCTAAATCGTTAGCGGTATTGTGAGTGCATACAGATGAAAAGTTCAACGAAACAGTTTTCAAGTTCTCTCATACTTTCAACGAACCTTCTTACTGATGTTATTCTATGATAATAAAAAAAACTAATTTCAAATAATTAAAGTGACTTAACGGCTGAATACTGTAAAAGTCCAATAATCGTTACTTTCCCGGGGGACCTCTTTAACTAAACGGTGTTTTTTTTTTCAGAAGAAACTATTTTCAAAAAGCTTCTAATTCTTAAATTAATCATTGTAAAACATTGAGAAACAAATAAAGAAGTAGTCAATGAGCTTTACAAACATAAACATGAATACACGAATAATCTTTTCATGGTAACCTTGACCTTTGTTCATCAACATATTGAGTAATCATACATGAATAATAAAAATAGATAAATCTATTTCATATCTTACGTTCGTATATTCTTTTAACTGTTTCATTTGGCGTATTTTCTTCACTAATTGTATATACATGACAAAATCATGGGGTTTTTTTCAAAAACTAGATTCAATATTGAATAAGTTTCCAAATAATAAGCTTTTAAGAGCTTTTTTTTTAATCGGTTACATTAATTCTTTGTAATATTGAAACTACTAAAGTAAAATAAGACCATGATATTAACTATCTTTTCGATTGTGAATCTACGGCAATACACCTAAGGTATGAATCAAATTCATTCAAATATGCGTATTTACTATTTATTTATACCCTTTAGAAGCATAATCTCTCAGCTACTCTCTATTTTCCCATTTTCTTATGCTCATATTCTAGTTTATCTTAACGATTTTATACCATTTGGTTGTTTGAAACAGTATCAACATGAAATGATACATAACTTGGTCATTTGAACAAGTTATATTTTCCAAAAGGAAGCGAAACTGTGTATTCACTCACACTGACTATCTTGACTCTGTAGCCTACTAAGTATCACTGATAATTAATAGACTTGTTATAGTGTAAACGCTTCACTAGGGATATCAAAATCCTATGACTTATCGGTGACTTCTAACCAGTTCAGCATAAGTTAGAACCCTACTCTATTTACTTAAGTTTTACCAGCCATGTAATATCATTAACCTGCACAATAAATATAGCTTTTTTCTTAATGCATCCATATGGCTATTGAAAGGGAGAAAGAGCTGTCAAATAATATCAGTATCTGGGTGTGTCCAGCTGAAAAGTTCTGAAGCACAATGAGAAGTCTGTCGTACACATCACTCCATGCCTTCATCATATATAATTAACAAATATTATTGTTATTCCCACTAATATCTCTCACAGATTATATATTGGTAGCTTATATAGAACGTATTCTTTAAAAGATAAACTTGTTTCTAACCATTGTAGGGGACTAAATCTTACGGTTCAAAGGAATAAACAATTTAAATGGTTTGAAAACGCAGTGACATGGTGCCAACTGCTGATTGATTGAGAAGATAAGAATCAGTTTGACGTACTACACTTCTAAATAACACAATATGAAGTTAGACAGAGGAAGAAAATGTTAATAAAGATCCTAGCGAACATCTTGAAACTAATATTCATCTTGATGACTACCAGAGGAGTCCAGGACATTCGTTTCGTCCTACTTCGGACTCATCGGCTGGATCTACCTGCGCCCCAGTGATCGATGTTGTTCCCAATACCCTTTGCTTCAAAAGCCAGCGTGTTATCCATTGAGCAACTGGGGCACGATAGCTACCTCTTGTACAACGGGTACTCAACGTTTCTCGTTGCTTGACCGAATTGCTTGACATGTGTTGGCAGATGGGCCCCTATGCCGATGCCTCGATACTGCCGGATATTTTGCGATGTTATATTGATTTGGTAACCAACAGAGGATAACGCTTTGGCTTTTAAAGCGACAGGAACCGGTTCAATCCTCAGTGTGGACATCCCACTAACTGGGGTGTAGGTACATTCAGATAACGAGTCCCAAAAAGGACGAAACACACGTTCTGGATTTCTCTGCTAATCACCAAGATGAATATAACATCATGAATATCTGGCAGTATCGAGACATCCACGCGGGGGCCCATCTGCCCTGTATAGCAGCGGGAAATTACAAGTATCATTGTAATCTTGAAACCCACTTCAAAAAGCAACTAATTAGTCAATATATGAAGAGGATTTCTAAGCCCACGAAATATACTACTAAACGACTTCAGTAGCATACTTCGGCAGTTCACAGATGACACCTTATGCTCTTGCCTGGCCTGTTTCCGATAGAAGCAAACTATGTTAACACCACAGTTCGGCATTCGAAAAGTGATTAAAGTATGAGAAGTGTTAACGTGGACAGTGAAATTTTTTAATCATTTTCAAAATGATCATCCTATTCATAGCTTCCAGCAATATAATGGCCCACAATTTTTGAGAATCTCTTGTAGCTTACCGAAAACATGCAAGAAGCCTAGCTTGGATGGTGAATTGATGCAGACAAGGTAAATCAAGGATGTGGAATGAGAGATATGCATTTTAAAACCACATGCTCTCAACTTCCGTTAACAAGAAGCATAGGAAAGATGGAAAGCAATAATCCAAGTGTCTGTTAATTTCAAAACCTTTTAGCTCCATACAAAGCAGAGGAACTATATACTACTGCTACTACTACTATTACTACTGATGGATGCTCATTACCAAAACAATTGCGCACATCAAATCAATCCACGTGTCTGAAGTATTCTCCTAATTTCTAGGTTTGCAATCTAGTTACCAGCATTCAAACCGATAACTTTTGGTAAAAAGAAAGAGTAACTTGGTACACTTGCTAATCGTTAGTTCATGACCAACCTCATCCACGGTGTACTCGAACAAATCTAGTTCAGAGCAGACCCGAACTGTTCAAATCAACTTGAACAAACCAATATTGTTGAGGAAGGAAAGCAGTTTAAAAATCATTTGCTAATTATAGGGTAAACGTTGATATTTTTCCCAGCTGATTAATCTCTCAACTACTCAACTGTAGTGTCAACAAGGTTTCCGTCAGAAACCACCCAGCTAAGATCGAAAAGTTTAATATGTGACGCAAAAGAGTATATTGACCGCCTTATATCAAACTGATGTGATTAGAAACATCTACAGAACAGTGTGAGTGGTTTTTGACTACTCATTTCGCACCTCAGTAGTATAATATACAAGCTTATTGCACATTTGTGTAAAAGACGACACTTTATGATTTTAGCTGCATAGTTCCCATTGAAAACCTCATTCACAGCACAATGTAACAGTTAAGAAACTACTCAACCGTGAATATTAACATGGACCGTGTAATTGTTCAATGATTTGTAAACTGATCACTGTATCAAGGAAAATGTTTCCGTTAACAATTCAGTACTATATTATACCGTCTTGCAATCAATAAATCCTCACATACACCACTGAACTGATTTACTATGCAATGCTAACTAGCAAAATTCGAAGAGATAGATTTCTCAAAGTTCTAATGAGAAGCCGAAATCAGACATGATGACAACTACTTTCCTGAAGGCACTAGTTAGTCGGTCACGCTCTGTAGCGAATTTGCAAAAGTTAGAAAATGTTGACCATCGGACGTTGACCAGTGGCTCATACATCATATCCTCTCCATGGAACATGCAAGTATATCCAATTAGTATAAGCCTACAAGTGTTTCTAGTATGACAACTGCTTCAACACTACGCTTTTAGTGACACAAATCTTTACCAACTTTATTCAACACCTATATGACTGATGTAAGAATCAGTTGGAAAGCAATACTAAAAACAAACACCACCAGTAAACAAACGAGGTAGGACAGATAGCAACATTTTAAGCTACAGATGAACAATTCCAATAGTTACATAAATAAATAAAAATTGTGAATTTTTAATAAGCCTACAAGATTTCTGTCCAATTTTCTGCACAGCAGTCAGCATTTGTATCACCTTCCAGGAGGCAAAAATACTACACAGAGTCGATTTCCAACATCCAACTCACATCTCTCTCATTGCATCACCACCATTAGTCTCCTAGCCTGATGACCACATTTCAACATGTCCCTTCAATAGAATGCCGTCAACACATACAAATCAACAACTTCAAATTGCATACCCTTCACTGACTACTCAATGTACACTGTTATATGATAAGGCGTATGCATCACAGTCAGCTCATTAACTCCGAAGACATACGCTGGTTGGACCAATGAAAAGACTCTAGGAGAGTTGCATTTTGTCAGCAATGATTTATGTCTAGTGTCTTGTAGCACTAACTCGAAGATCTACAGGCAAAAACTAACGAGTTGACAGAAGACGCGAGGCAACGAACTCGGGACTTCAGGTGAACGTAGAGAAGACACAGGTAGAGGTGATCAAGATACCCAACTAACAACAGAAACAACGACAACAACAACAACAAACACTAATCACCATCAACGAGACAAACCTAGAGGAGGTTGTCTCTTTCACCTACCTGCCTACCTAAACAGCATCGTCTCCACTACAGGTGGCACAGACACAGATGACGATCTCAGAGCCATCCAGGATCGGAGAGATAGCAAGGCAGGCCTTCATTAAGCTGAAATAATCAGTGTGCAGATATACTGAACTGCACTGCACTGTACTGCAGTGCAATTAGCATAAAGCGTGAACAACATCCGGATTTTCAACACTAAGTCAGTCAATTCAGTCGGTGCTTCTATGTGATGAATGAGAGACTTTGTGTATTACGAAAAGCATTTCCAACAAACCAACCAACCAACAACCCATCACCCGACAAATATGCAGAAGAAAGTAGACATGGATTGGATTGAACTGTATGTACACTGAGAAAAGCGACTGGAGAAATCACTCTCTAGCCCAGTCCATCCAGTGGAGCTGAAGTGGGAAACGAAGAGCTGGGCGTCTGAGATGAGAGTTATATGGAGGAGATCGTGTGGGGAATAAAGGAGAGCTGATGGACTTTTGCAGAACCAGGTTAATAAGACTCCAGAGAAGTGAGTGAAATGGCGATGTGCTACTGAAGTCGTATGTTCCACTAGGAACCCAATAGACAAATAATAATAATAATATTAGTAACAAATATTTTAGTACTTTTTTCTAAATCTAAATTAAATCACTTACTTGTAATGTCATCACCATATAGTTAAACTTTGCATTTTTTCCACAACCAAATAATCGGCATATATTTGATTTACCTTGTAGACGTCGTAATACAGCCACCTCCATTCTTAATACTTGTCTAGCTTGACGATTTGACTCAGCTTTAATAGCAACACGATAATCATAAGCTTCATTAACACTTGAGATACCAGAATCAGTTGATATTCCATTTGTTTCATGTTTATTATTCATTGTAAATTTATCAATATAATCTTGTGGTAATTCACATTTACAACTTTGACATATTCTCTTTTTATCAACATTTCCTGTCTGACTTGAATCCCTTGGAGTGGATACATTACTAACACTGAAATCTTGTGAACTTATCTATGTACATGACTTGAATTATTATTATTATTATTATTACCATTACTATTATTTCCTGTTGACGATTGTTGATGAATAAAACAATCTTCTTGATTACTTTGATTATTCTTATTACTACTGTTCTCATTACATGTTAACAGTAAACGACGTGAAGATAATGAAGCCGATGTAGTTGTTCCAGCTGAATTAATTCTATTACCATGTTGTAAAACTTGTGTATCAGATGAAAATGCTTGTATTCCACCTATACCACTATCAGAGCCAATATCTTGTTTTAATTTCAATAAAGTAGAATCATATTGACCGCTAATTGGTGAATGAACTAGTGCATTCAATGTATTATTTGTTGCACAATTAAAACATAAAGAATATTCTGTAAAATGACGTTTCATATTTGTGTGTAATTCAATAACACCGGATCCTGTTGACATTGTTGATGATGATGATGATGATGATGATGATGAAGATGAAGTGGATGAATGATTGACACGTTTCAATTTTGTATCAATTGCTTCATATATCTCACCAAAACCACCTCCACCTAATTTACATATAACTCGCCATCTTTCTTTCACCATATCACCTGGAGATAAAAGATCTTTAACACTGTCTGCACCTTGTACAGATTGATTAACATCACTATCGGGTTTTTTGTTGAATACAACCGGTTTTTGATTGGATAGATTTATCTTAGTCGAAGATCTTTTACTTGTCATCAACATAGTACCGTTATTATTATTATTATTATTACTGTTTACAAATTTATCCTTTGACTTTTTTAAACCATGTTGACGATGAGTTAGAAAATCAGATTGCATTTTGTGTAGTTAGTTATTTTTTTTTCTCAAAGAGAAAACTATCTGCAATAGAAAAAACATAACTAGTATGACATGGTTTGTATAACACTTATTATTGATTAGACATAGAACATTTTATTGTTATCCTCACAGCTTAACAAATAATTACATTCTGAGGTATTATTTATCAAAGAGTGATATCATTTAGGGAATCATTAAGAAAGTGGGAAAACTGAATAGCTGTTTCGTTCTGGTATTAGAACTCCTCAACAGAAAGTACCCATGACCTGGCTAGGGGTCGAACTCAAGACCATCAGGTTTCACAGAGAACCCGTTACTCCCTCAGCCACTAAGTCAGAATTCCGTGGTTCATGATTTCTTACTTTAATTGACTGACTGAATGGTTAACTCATTCGCCGTGAAACCCAAAGATCTTGAATTTGAACCCTAGCCAGGTTGTGGATTCGTTCTGCTGAGAAGTGCCATGTTAGGACGAAACAGCTGTTCGGTGCTCACAAATTTTCAATGGTTCTCCAACTGATATCATTTTGTGATGAATACTATCTCAAATTTGAACTCATCATTAACCTCGAAATAATTTAATGTTAGTTGATCAGACAATCTAGGTTGCGGTAGGATTCAAACCAGCGACATGTTGATTAGAGACAAATGGGTTGTTCAACGCTGAACCTCTCACAAAATACCCCACAGTTGACACGCGCTCCATGTCACTTTGAACCCGCCAGTTAAATGTACTTGCATTTCAATGAGCCTCACATCGTCGCTTCAAACGCCAGAACGTAAACCATTTAGCTACCAAGTGACGAGATCACCTATTGTGCATTGAATATCAGTTGTTATTCACTGATACTCGAAATTTTTAGTTGTTAAGCCAGTTGAAAGATCTCCTTTGGCATATAAGCTCTTCTATCAGCCCCTTGATACTGCCTAAAGGTTCAATATATTATAATGTCCTTAGTGGCTGCAAACATGCTAATACATAATGGTCAATTCGATCTAGTATAACAGAGGGGAATTCCAACACAACAGTAAACACGTTTATATGATTGTGATTACCTGTGAACCGTCCCACTTAGGTTCTCTTGACACTGATCCCTTCTTATTTACCATGTACCTTCAAATATGGCTGAAGTCAATGATGAAAAACTTCACGAATTAGTGTCTTATTCTTGTTATTAAATTGGTGCGTTATTCTTCTCCAGAACTGGTAATAAAATTTAGTATATGTTGATGTCCTTATCCAAGTAAGAATACATTTCATTAGATTAAAGCGAAGAGAAATTCACCTTAGACTGTTAAAATACTACAATAAACGAAATTGGCTTATGCTTGCTTTAACAACAACTCGGTTGCTGGATGATGGTTTCAGACGGTAATCAAAGTCATACTCAAATATTTCAGCTTTCACAAAAAAAGGTGGATAGGCAGAACCCAAACTTTATTGAATATTTCAATTTAACCGTATACTGATCAACTTTTTGTTTTCAATTTAGCTGTTAAGAGAGCCATCTCCTGTATGTATGACTCGAAGGTGACACTTGCCACAGTACCACTGAGAAAAAAGTAGTAACATTTCTAAATAGGTTAAGAATAACCCTTCATTATATAGGCAACTGAAGTCAGTATGCATGAAACCTATGACTTCAGTTGTTTATTGACCAGGTTCAGGCACTTAAGCACCATTTTATACTGACAAACCAATAAGTCAACAAAAAGCCATCACTTTAACTACAAAGAAAGGTATCAGATTTAGACGACATGTCTAAAACAGCAACAGAATTTATTCTCAACAGCAACATAAGGTTTGATTAGTATACTACTGTGTGAATACCATAATGGATTTTCCTAATGAACGTTAAAGTATGTTACCAACCACACGTATGAATGAGGCATAGTGACTAGTAGTGCAATTTAAGACGTGCGTTTACGCCGATTTCAGACTCATCAGCCTTATGTATCTGTCTTTCTATGAGTCATATTGTTCCCCCTAAGACTTGGAAAGAAGAACAATCGCTTCAAATGCCAGAGAGTAGCCCATTGGGCTAATAAGTCACAATAGTTGCACCTTATGCAATGGTTGCATTAAACTTTGAGTGTTATAGCTTGTAAATCATTATCATTGACTGGAACGAATTGAACTATATTATACCACCCATCGCACGCAAAGGGATTATCCTAACTAAGTGGCCAAGTTGATAATATTGCTGCATTTGGAACGATTGGTCCAGTTGAAGACAATATCACTCACAGAAATCAAATATATCCATCTGAAGAGTCCCAAGGAGGACAAAATGTGCTTCTATTGCTAGTCACTATCCATCAGTAGTTTTATTATTGTTACAAATTGTAAAAATGTCAAGTTATCGTATGATTAATAATCATAGACAAAACTAGGACAAAAATGTTTGTATTCAATTAGATGAATTGATTATGTAAGCAAATTCACTTGCAGTCAGCTAGTTGCAAAAGTACTCAGAATAATATTTTATTTATTTGTAATATATGAATATGCAATAATATAGAATGAATGCACACATGTATCTTGTAACCAAACTGTCACCAAACGTATAAAACACACTAGACCAATGTATTGAATGGTCACGGGAGTGTAACCAATTTCATTTTGTCTAGTCTTGAGTACAGACCGAATCTGTCGATCATATTTGCAATGTGGCAACCAAGCTAGGAAGCTCAGCATTGCGTTGCACATTAGTAGATGTTAGTTGGTTGGAGGCAATCGGCAGGAAGCCCTGTCTGACCTAGGTTTCATGCTTTTTGGCACTCGTCAGCAAGGCTTATCTGCAATCTCGATGGAACTGATGTCCCGCCTGAGATTCGAACCCGCGTCACCCAGTGTTGTAGTCAGCAACTTTACCACTGAGATATTCGAATCTCAGGTGGGACATTAGTTCCATCGAGGTTGCAGACACGCCTTGCTGACAAGTGCTTGAAAGCATGAAACCTAGGTCAGGCAAGGCTTCCTGCCGATTGACTCCAACCAACTAACACTAGACTAATCCACAAGAAACCGAACTGAATAGAAAAAAATCTCAAGAAATATTGGTGGATTCCATTTATTCATGGGTCATAAACACTGCTAGCGTGTAGTTAGTTGTAGAAAGTTGTTCATTAGACTAATCACTAAATAATTACTGATTCTGTATCATTGAAAATGTAAGGATACTACTAAGTTAATGCTCAGAACAAAATATACCATCACCGATGAGGTAAAGCACAAGTTAGCATAAGTGAATAAGTTTATACGTATAGTATACAATGAAGCAGTATTATTTGCTGCATGAAGTTTGGAGTACAAATTATCCTCTGTAATCATATCATGGTGATTATGTAACACATTCGGAACTTTACTCATTCACCTTGCAGTTTCAGCTTCTAGACTGCCTCACTTCTTCACTGTCAAGCTCCACCATTTGTCAGTTATCTTTTAGCATTATACCGAATCTCATCATTTTCTCATTCTCCCTTTCTCTCTTTTAGTACTTTATATTTATTTCGACTGAATTTTCTTTTCTTCATCTTCCAATTTCCTGCCTTTTTATCTAATGTACCGATATGATCTGTGGCAGCTCGGATCGTCATGCAGCAATGCCTGGTCATATGCTGACTTGGATGGATGAAGTACATCTTGTTTAATTGCTGAGTCTTCGGTTCACATTTTTCTCTTCTTTTCCCTTCCAGATTCTCGTGGTCACTCTTAAACTTATAATGCTCTATGTGCCCCCTATAACAACATACCTACCTACAGGCTAGACAAAAACCCGTCAACACCTGGTCATTACAATTAAATGGCTTAATTTTTTTGGTTTATATAGCTTTATCAACTTCCATCCTTTGATTTTATTACTAGTACAATTTTCCAGAATCCGACATTAACGCTGAATCATTTCTATTGCATTTGTTTGATGTGAATCAGATAAACAGCGATTCGGTGATCAAATTCCCCCTCCCGCCACCCTTCAGTATATTAGTTATCAGAACTGTTATGTTATAGAGTATATTATTCTAAATTTAGTTAAGTTCATGTTCTCTACCAGTCTGATTGATGCCGTTCGGTTAGTATAACCTATGTACTTAACCTTACAGCCATTGCATAACATTTTGTAGTTTACCTTACCTTGTTTCAATGATTCAGTAAAGCTTTCCTCTGAATTAGTGTGTCAGTCTAGTTACTGCCCTAATCCGAGTCTTGCTAGGAATCCTATTCGGAGTTTCTAATGTACCTTTCTTTTCGGCAATACAATTAAAACCGTAAACTCTTTAAGACTCGTATAGCAGTCGTTTCTCACATTACTATCTCTCCTTTTTTTATGAGGTCCTACGAATTACTGAAAATAGTTATTAGTCTGCTAAGTTATATTTCTTCAGCTAAATCTGTTAACTTACCAGTCAGACTCCTGAAGTGACTGTTTTAAAGTTTAACTAAACCTGCTTTGAACTGATGTGTTATGGAATGATGCTGAGTCTAGGTATCTATTAAAGTTCAGGGATTTTCAGTAAACAGTTGTCTATAAACCGTTATCTAGTAATCAATGTAACTTGCAATCTAGTATAACTAATGCTCTTTGCTCATTTTCTAACCCAGAAGTAAATTGAATTGCTTCTACCCTTGGATTAATGTATACGTGAGGAAACTGCATATTTTTGAACAATAATATATATAAACATAACTTTTCTCTTCACATTTTACTCTTCATAACCTGACATGAGAAATATTCAATAATAACACCTATATTTTAATGAGTTAATATAGTAGAAAGAAAATAAATAAGCTCTTGTTAAAGAGATGTTTTTTCAGGATATAAGTTTGCACCGTTTCATTCTTATTTCAATTTGAAGCGCAGCAATAATCTATACCATTAAGATAGTATATTTTCTGTTAACTTCAGGCACCACTACCTTCTAGCAAATCAACCAAGTATCCAATGATGAGAACCAAGAATCCATTTCTATATAATATATCTACATGGAGTGAAATTTTC